ATATATATATATATATATATATATATATAAAATATACATATATATATATATATATATATATATATATATATATATATATATATATATATATATCAAAGAAGAGAAAGTATACTATACAAACTTGTAAGAGAGTTACAATATATGTGTGAGTAGTATGCAGTTTACTGTATGTACTTGGCCGTTCCATTTGTATTTGTATAAATTTAAAAAAAAAAGGTTAAATTACACCCACACCCCTGAGGTATGGTTAAATAATTTTAAGGTCCCTATGGTATCGATAATTACACGCACCCCCTGAAACGTAGTTAGAAACTCTAACGGGATATTGCATTGGATACATTATTCCCATAGGGTTCTAATGGACTATTACTTTTAGCTAGTGGTGTAGATAACATAGAGTTATGGGGAGTTATGGGGTGACATGGCTCCCTCAATATTTCTCAAATTACCCATAACTCTTTGTTGTCTGCACCACTTCCTGAAACCAATAGTCCGGTAGAACTCTATCGTAATAACGTATCAAATGCATTATCCCATTAGAGTTTATAACCACGTTTCAAGGGGGTGAGTGTAATTATCGATACCACATGGACCTTAAAGTTATTTAAACATACCTCAGAGGTGTGGGTGTAATTTACCCAAAAAAAAAAAAAATTCAAAAAAAAAAAAAAAAGAAGATAGATTATGAGAAACCCCTGAATTTAGGTTAATCTGCAAAACAACCCTTCACATAATCTATAACTTATAGTTATTCAAAAACCTTTGAATGCCGTCTTACATTGTTCTTCTTATGGTGTGAATTTTGATGGATTTTTTTGATTCAATAGAGTATTCCTAAAAAAAATAACTATTCTACTCCCATAGTAATTGCAATAATATATATTATGAGGGTGTAAATGTAATTTATTTGGAATAAAATATGACCATTTTGTACTTGTACTAATCGTGTGTCTGATTTGTTCTATTGTAATAATATTCATCATTTAAGAGGATGTTAAGTATGATATTTTGACTGTTTGACCATATTACGATAGAGCTTATATTATTTTGATTCACATCTCACTCCGTTGTTATTTATTTTGTTTCTATGGGTTTCCTATGTAGTCCATCTCAAATTAAAGGGTACAAATTATGGGAGAAATCCAAATACTTCCCAAAAAAATATCAATTTTGGAAGTGAGTAACTAATTCTAATTCCATTCCAAAAAATTCGAAATAACTGGAAGTAAGCAAGCTGGAGTGAAAATTTTATTCCATAATAAGAATTTTTTGGATCGTATTCAGCAAAATTCAACAATTACATTTATATATATATATATATATATATATATATATATATATATATATATAATTATTATAATAATAATAATATCGAGATTAAATATCATCGGAAAGTTATCTTAAAATCGTTGAAATGTCAATAAGAAGTCGTAGGAATGTCACTGAAAAATTCGTTATAACAATAATATATGATGTCGGAGTTTGCAAAAAAATCAGTGGACGCCTCGTCAACCACCGACCGCTGCCTCGGGAAGGTGCTGCCATATTCTTCTAACCTTTATAGACAATCTTTATTTTTATTTTTTAAAATAAGCCTGTAAGGTTGATGTTGTTAGATGGAAATAAACCCTGGGGCATTTTTAATAATTATTGATAGTTGAGAAGTTTTTCAACTAATTGCCGATGCTTCAGGATTTTGTCGTAATTTGTTATTGTTTTTGTTATTTAACTTAAGGAACATTATAGAAAGTACACGTTTTCTGTTAAGAGAGTTTTTTGGTAATTATGAATACTTGAGGGAGTTTTGACGATTAGACCGTAGTTAATGGGGATTTTTGTAATTTACACAACATAAAATATAGAGATAATAATGATTGGTTACCGTTTGAAATTATTTCCACTGTTTTAAATAAAAAAGTTCTTCCCCCGAAATACGGATACGGTAAAGCGGGGAAATAGAGACGAGAAAGCCCATTTTTTGAAAAATGGAAACATTTTGGGGCCATTTCCATAAATATTTAAAAGTTTTGAGACGTTTTTGGTAATAATAAGAATGGAAACGCGTTTCCACTAAAAAAAGTCCGAAATTCTTTTTAAATAAAGAACCCGGAATTGCCAATGCTTGGAAAAAATCTTAA